GGGGGACAAACACTCCCCACAGCACCCGGCTCGGGGTTGTGTGGGCGCTGTGAGGCCGCTCGGGCCGGGCCGCCCCGGTCACCGCGGAAACGGAAGCGCTCGGGCCGGGCCGGGGCCGCCGGGAGCGGGGCCCGTTTGAACGTTCGGCCGCCGCCACCGCCTGCCTTCCCCTGGCCGAGGTAACGGGGCAGGGCCCGGCCGGGCAGGGAGGGGCTGCAGGGCACATTGGTGTTCCCCCCCGGGCTGTGGGCACGGCCGGGGCCGGGGCTGGACGAAGGGAAGGGCTCTGGGGCCGGCCCGGGGCTGCGGCTCCGCGGAGAAAGGGCCGCTCTGGGCTGCGARCGAGCCCTGGGCACGGGAAAAGAGAGCGCTGCTCCTTCCGAGCTCATTCCCTAAAACCAGCCCTGAAACCTTTTTTTTGTTTCTGTTACTTTGACTACGACTCTGCTGGCTGTTTCTCCCCTTTTTTCTCTGTTTAAAACCAGCCCTCTAATTCTGAGGAATACCAAGTCAGGAACGCGGTGTCACACAAACGCCCGGAGGTGTTTTATACAAATTGGGTGCAATGAATACACTTACTGTGCGGTTGGCTGTTCAATTTCAAACCTAAGCAAGCACATTCTTGTAGATTACACCGAGTTATTTACAAAGAATCTCCCTTAGTTTTGCTTTAACTTGTAGATTACACTAAGCACCTGTTATTTACGAAGAATCTCTCTTAGTTTTGTGTTTATTTGAACATAACTCGTGTGGTTTCACTTCCTATATTGTTCCAAGCACATCTTAGCCCGGCCTAAGGTGAACAGAGAATAGTGTAAAAGAGTATTTGGCCTTTTCTACGTCAGTGTGATTGATTTTGCAGGTTACTTTGTGTTCTTTCAAAATGAACATCGAGGAGAAAGTAAAGGAAAAATTGGATGCGGAATTAGACCGCTGTGTTGTGGCTATGAAGCCCTATGTCCTAGGCCTGCAGCGTGGTTCAGGTAAATATGGTCAAATGTGCATTTAAACACTGATAACAGAACTAATAATCAGTTCAGTCAGACCGATAATTATGTGTAGTTGGATCACTTAAATAAACCAGGCACTAAATCTCTGGCATTACAAGGCACAGATTTGATGGAGCTTCTAAACTCCTAAATTTGGATATTTTAGGCGCCTACTGCAATTGKTTGAGGTTATTTGTCTTGTCTTCACAGTGCAAATGTGCTTTTGCATTAATGCAGTAACATCTATCTTTAAAAACTGAATGCAGTGGAATCTAAAAGCTTTTAAAGGGCATTGTTTTTGAGATAGGCCTTACAAAATTGCAATTATTTTTTAGTTATGAAGTTGTTGACCTTTGGTCAGGAATGTGTAATAATAGAAATATAAATTAATAAATGATGTTGTATAAATCTAATTTTTACAACAAGCTGGTTATTACTAAAGGCACAAACCCTAAGCATTAAGAGCTTTATGTGCAAACATTTAACCAAATGAATAATTTCATCATCTGGAAGCAAAGCTTGTGTAAATAGAGGTTTAKTCTTTTAATCCACGAGGTTTTATTGTGTATTTAAAGTATTAATGCTTATAGCAGCTCTTGCAGTGAGTGTAGAATTCCTATTTTCAAAAGTGATGTTCTGGTGAACCTGAATTTATAGAAAATTTTTGTAGAATATGCAGATTTGAACTGTTGTTAAAGACTTATTTTTAAACTAGGTATTTATCCATTTCTTTTACTTGGTTTGGTTATTTGGGAGTTTTTTTTGTTTGTTTTGTTTTAAACTTTTGTGTAGAAGGGCGAAACAGAGCTGATGACCAGTGATGGCTCCTGTTTTCTGAATGTGTTTGATTTGCCATGAAAACATGTAGTGACAATGTATATCTGTATTTTCAGAAAGAAAACGATGCTCACTGTGGATCAAAAAACTCTGCAGACTTTCAGGAGCAGGAGTAGCCACAGTGGAAAGGGAGAAACGAAACTTGTACGCAAAACTGCTGCTGCGCATGCTGCAGAGGGGAGTTCTGGAGGGCCCCTTCACCCAAAAACCAGATGAAGGAGCACTGAAAACTTTGCCTGCCTACATGGTGAGTGTCACAGAGGTGCTGAAAAGTGTCCTGGAACTGCTTTTCCATCTTTCATGTGGCATCAAATGTTTCTGAATGGAGTGAGTGGAATTGCCTGTGATAAATAAAGGCATTTCTTGTAATTGATGTTGGGAAAATCTTTCAATGGGAAAAATTTTMTTGAGGCCTGTATCTTCAAAGTTCTGGTTAGAAGGCTTATAAAAATAGGTGTTTTGAAACAACAGAATAATAGTAATATTTTTCTAGTTCTGTGGAAAAATTAATAAAAGGCCCTCGAGGCTTTCTTTTATCCTAATCAGTAAATCTTGTGAAAGAAAAAACGTGTTTAAAGGTGGTGACTTTAGTAGTCTGAGATAACTGCAGAACTCACACAGACACTGTTAAAGTTGCAGTTTGTCTGAAAATGCTGTGTCAACCCTCGGCATCAGCTGTAGTGAGATAATTTGTGCTAAAATTACCCATCCTGGAAGAAGTGAAGTACTGGGAAATATTCACACTGTTGCCATGAATTCCCATGAGCTGAGAAGGTGGCGTTTTCCCACCTCACTGATTCTGTTGGAAAAGGAATGTTTGTACTGCAGATACTCCTGCAAGGAATGACATGAGGATTGTAAGGAATGCATCTGTGTATATATATAAATTTATCCCTGTGCTGATTTTGCTTTTGTTCTCATTGCAGTCAGTTTATTTTGATGAGCCGAGTACAGCCCACGTTGGGAGCCATAGCCCTTGCTGCTTACCTGAGTGGGTGGTGGGAGAGCTGGGGAGCCACGAAAGCAATGTGTCWTCTGTAGGGGAATCATCCTCAGCACCACCTCCTTCCCATGGGTAAGGATCTTGCTCTTGCTTTAATCAGTTTTTGATTTATGTTTCATGGATGTTTGATTTGATGAGCTCTGGGTGTCTCAGTTTATTGCACCACTCACGGACTCACCATCAGTATTTGTGCCTTTATCGACAGAAACTTTGGGAACAGATTCAATATGAGAACTCCTATACTTTTCTGTTCTTATTTTTCTCTGTTTTGTGTTCTTCTCTGGCTTCTGTACATCTTCCATGCCCCATCCCTGTATCCTTTTATCCTTCCTCTTATTCTCCTTCCCCTTTCAGTTACAGACACWGAACAGGACCTGCATTTCCTGTTATTCCATGCCAGGAGAAGCAAGGAAATGTAATGGAATAATAGTGGTCCAAAGGACTTTGGGAATGAAACTGCTGTGTAGGCACAGTGGGTATTTGGATCAGGAGCAAAGCTGTGTCTAGGAAATCTGAATTTCTGTTGGAAATTTCTGATCTTTCTGTAGATTACAGAAATTAGTCTTCACAACAGTAAAAAACTTATTTTTCCTGTGAGTTATGCAGGAAAGTACTGAAGGCAAGTATTTCAGCTGTTCTGTTTAGTGGAAATAACACATTTAATATTGTCTAATTTGTGTCTAATTAACACATTTAATATTGTCTAATTGTGGCTGTGTTAAGATATTACCTAATCCAGCATATAGATCCCGTTTTCCATTGTATTTACAATTTTGGATGAACTATCAGTGCAGGTGAAAATGTAATATATTAAATATTTCTGGAATGTGCAGTTTGTAGGAAGARCCAGCAGATGGTGACCAAGTTCCATTATATTTTCTCTCTCCCCTGAATGTGCTTTGGGGAAACTGTATCCATGGGCATGGAATATGTGTGGTTGGATGAAAATTGTGCATTCCAGCCATGACTCAGTTCTTACAACATTTTCTCAGGGCAAAATAGATAATGTCAGTGAGACATGTTCGAGTAACTGCTTGATGTTCTTTATATCTCAAGATTCTCTCCTTTCAAAGACCCAAACAAACAGAGAAGTTCTTTTCATAGTGATTTTTATCTTGCAATGCAGATAGTTCTGTGTTGGACAATTTTGAATTTTCTATATGAAGTTGCTTTTCGGCCTAAATAAAAAGCAGGTAGACAAACCTTACTTGCCACTGGGGTGTGGATGAGTAAGTTGAACCAGTTGATGCTGGAAAGGTGCAGCAATACTTTGAAATGTGAGAGGCTTGGTTTGAGAAACATTTAGATTGGTTTGAACAGAAACCTGGGCTTTCTGACCCCACAGGAAAATTCTACTCTGATGTGAGTAAAGTTGTGGATTGATTGTGTCCATCCTTAGCAATCTTTCCAAATTCTGTTTGTACAATCAAGTAAAGCAGCTTCCTTTTCAATTCCTTTTGAAAACAGCAAACACAGAACTGAGAATACATCTACACTTCTTTCTTCCCTTTGGTCAGTTTGAAAATATTACAGATAACTTGGGCTGGGTTGAGAATTTGTTGGTATTCCTGAATCTCTGAATGATGGAGGCATGAATTGGTTTTGTCTCATTTTTAACAATTGGAACTTTATKGCATTGTTAGTTAACCTGGGTGTTGTTCAGAAAGGCAATCTGATAAAAGGGCAGATTTACTCCCAGGCAAAGATTTATCTCCTTTTAATGAAAGGTAATTTTGTGTCAAATGAAATCTCGGTAAGAAACGCAAGAGGCACTCATTGTGTTATTATATTTCTTTTGATCTTTTTTACCTCTGAGACTTTGCTTATCTAAACTATTTACTGCTTTGTAATTGTGATTGTGCATCCATACCTGTTGTTTCTGTGGGATTTTTTGGTGCTGGAAGGGAAGGAAGGTTCCCATTTGTTGTATTTCTCCATTCCCTGCTGTTCTGATGAAAGCTGGGGCCCTGTGCTTGGTGGAAATTTTGTGTTTGTCTTCCTAGAAGTGACTGGTTTACATTGTACATCCAACAGTTGTTGTTCTGTCCATAAACACTTCATTCATCTCGGTGTCTTTTTGGCATTGCAACCTCTGATTTGCTGCCAGATGGAAAGGAAGGATGGTATTTTAATGGTCTGATTTGATTTTATTGTAATATAGCCACTCCTAGGGAGGTGAAGGGGCTGACAGGAGTTTTTAGTTGCCTTTATACCTGTGGGTTTGATAGGGGACTGTGCTGAAGGGTTTTTCGCTACTGTTTTGGACCTTTTGCTGTATCAATCTATCTAACAAACATTTATTTTTATTTTCCCTGTTCTGTGGCTGAGAAATGGCTGTGACCAGGTGCATCAGTGACAGTTCTCTTCACCTATCTGCTGYTCTTCATTTCCCTTTATTCACGTGTTTTATTTACAAGAAAAGCCTTTCCAGAAAATCCCTGTCTAGCTCTGCTGGACAGAGAACTTGGTCATATTGTACTTGTGTCCTGTCTTGTGGGCTTTATTCTCCCATTCYCCATATATTCCACTTCAGTTCATAAAATAGAAATGAAGTGAAACCAAGGCAATGTTTGTRGCTYTTTCCTTGGACATGTCCCTCTCCACCTTGGCCTTYCCAGCCACTGCCTTTATACTGAGCTGTGGATGTGGTTCCTGCCCTTCAAGTTGCTGTGTTATAGGATGATTTACCTTCATCTGACCAATTTTTTGGGTCTTAAATGTCTCCCCTATGGTGCAACCAACTGTCACTTTAGTTCCTCTTTCTTCTCTGAGTCACTGGCCTCCATCCTGTGTTRTTTCATCTGCTTAGCAATTCTGTAGCTAAAACATTCCCTTAGGTCAGCCCTCTCCTTAGCTTGGGTTTCTCCTAAAATCCTTCGGGAGATGTTGGGTGATGAGGTCAAAGAAAAGCAAAGAACACTTTCTAATGTACTGTCATGTACATGATATTTCTAGGTTTTTTTTTTGGTGTGGGGTTTTTGGTGGTGTTTTTTTAATGGAACACTTCAGGCTTTTGTTTGCCCTTAACAAAAAATTTTTCTCTTTTTCTTCTCTTTTCTTTTTGATCTCTCCGTCTTGACAATTATTTTCTTGTGTATATTTTAAAAGATTCTATTCCATGATTAACATACTTTGTGTGCCATGTTTTGMTGGAAATGAATTCTTCTCTTTCTGCTTGCTCTTGTCATTGATAACAGGGAAAGACTGAGTGAGAAGACATCAGAAATATCCCGTCTGAGTTCTCACCGGACAGATGAAGATGACGCAGGCACGTCACTGTCTGTAAGATGCTTCTCCTTTTTGTCCTACAGCTCTCCTTCCCCTGARTTGGTTTTATAAATCCCTGTAAAGTGGTATTTCCATTGTGTGGGTCATGATCCCCATGTAAAGATGCAGACATTTGGGAGGGTATGATAGGGACAACTAAAGCTCATCAAAATMTGTCCTTTGCAGTGCAGGGGAAAAGAATTTCTTGCAGGATGTTCTSAGTTCATCCTAAAGCTTGACCTCTGTTTGGTGTTGTGTGTTCAGTGCCTGCTGCATTGTTTTCCCTGGGCTTGGCAAGGTGCCTGCATTGACATCATCTCATGTTTTGCAATAATAGATTAAAGAAAGCTGCAGAGATGCCTCTGGCTCTGCTYGGTGATGGCTGACCTCTGAAAGAGTGAATTTTGGATAGTTTGTTTCATCAGACTTTCCACACCGAGCATTCTGACTGATGAAAGGGCATTGAGCAGGCTTTGTGTAAAACCCTTTTAGTCCAAGATTTTCAATGATTTTGTTTATGGAATTGCAGGTGTTTGCACTGACAATTGCTCCTGACAAATGTGTGTTACTAAGAAATGTGCTGTTTACCTTCCTAAACGTGCTCGGTGGCCTTGCAGTGTCCTTCACCACACCTAGAACAGCCCTCACCCCTCCAGGAACACTGAATTTCCTGTTTGTTCCTGTAGCTCTACCCACACTTCTTTTTTTTTGATTCAATAAGAGGAACAGTTGAGAAAGATTGCAGCTGGCACAGCTGAGAATTTATGAGGACACGAAGTGCAAATGGGATAAAGTGGAAGCTCTTTTCTGAGGGAGTTTGTGTTCTGTGCATCTGGATGGAGGATTAGCAAGGGGATGATTTTTCAGGGCAGGTTACAGGTGCTCAGTGGGCAAAAAGCAGTGTCTGTACTCCAGCCTCTGATTGCTGTGGATGTATTTGTGTGTCTGTTGGTTGGACGTATACAAATGGAATTTAAATACACAAATGGCATCATTAAAAATGAAACCACATGCTGGATTTACCTAATTTCTCCCTTATTGGTTTCCTGTTTATTTTACTTCAGGAAATATTCCTGATGGAAAAGCTATTGTGAAAAAAATTGTTTTCTTCAGTTAAAACCTGGATTTGGAGCTTTAAAGTTTTGTACAGGGSGTTTGTTGTTTTGCTTTGATTATTTTTAATTTTTTTTGTTGTTCTGGCTCTGCCACAGCTTCCAGGGCAGTGTTGAACAAATCACTGCACTTCATTGTTCCTCAGCTCCATGTACTGGATCCTCCTGTGATTCCAGCTTTGAAAGGGCCTTTAAATGAAATAATCCTCTCTTGCTTTGCCAGACAGTTTGATAACGTTTGGCTGGCTGGAACAAGCAATACCTCCTTCCATTGTCAGTGATGCACAGATGTTCTGGCAGAATTCAGGCCCAGGTAGAGGAGCAGGGAGACTTCTAAGAAACCTTAAGAGGTGCCTCAATCAAGTGTTGATTAACTGCAGCCCAAACTCCAGTCCCTGGATGCTTATGATAATGTGCTGCACCTGCTGCCCCATTAGGTACATTAAATGCAGCTGGAAGTTATTGTTATCCTACAGGGAAAGCTTATAAAAGGCAATTSCTAAGCCCTGGCTGGGTGCTGGAAATCAGGGAGGGTCCTTGAGGTGGGCAGCAGCTTCTCTGCCTTCTGCTTTGATAACCATCATTGCCTTGCTGTGCTTTCCTTTAATTTTTAAACCATTTYTTTTGTTTATTTGGAGGCAGATCAGGTGATCTGTGAAGTGTGGATTAGCCCCACAAAAGGCACTGTGGATGTGAGTTTCTAGAATAAGTATGTTACCTAAAAACAGAGTATTTTGATTTTCACTAAATTCCCCCTCTGTGAAGGAGACCATTGCTTGGGAAATAAATAAAGAAGACCATTAAAGTGAATTTATGGMTGATTTATCCTCTGAACTCCTTTCTTAGCACAGTATCCTGGTGACTGAGCTGTTTGGGTGGAAGCTGTCAGAGGTATTGTGACACTTTAGGCACTGCAGTGTAGGCCTGGCCAAGTCAATGAGAAGATTTATTTTGAATTATGTCTCTGCCAGCAGTTCTGATATTTTCTTTTGACTTTTTTTTATCTTCCAGGAGGATCATCACAAAAAAAATGTTTCATTTGAAGATGATGACCTCGAAACACGTCTCAACAGTTGGAATCTTGGGGTAAGAAAACTGATTGCATTCCTTATTTATTAACCTACAACAAACCTTTATGTGGGAAGCAGTCTTTTAGAAAAGAATTGGTAAAGCTTGGAAAGGTGGTTTATGAATGTATGAGAAGGAAACATTAGAATTTTAAATAATAATGATCTTCACACCTTTAATATAGTTACTGATAAATCAAGCAAAATAATGGCTGCTGGTCAACACCAAATGTTTTATTCTGGTAGAAATTCACACTTTCTTCATTATTATAATATTACTTTTTATTTACTCTCATATAAATGAAAGAGGMGTTTGGCTTTCTGTATTTGTTTTTYTAATCAATACAGAATTTGCAAGCCTTTAGTACAACTCAATGTTTTTTGRTCAATGTGCTTCCATTTGAAGGTGTTCACGAGGCTTTTCTGTGTGTTCACCTCTTTCTTTCCYTTTTAATAATTCAGAATTGTTACTGTTTTCAAGACTTTATTTCCTTGGTTGTATTTTCTGTGGTATTAGTCCATGATAATTCCAGGATGACAATGAAATACCTCTTCTCTGTGGCTGTATTTGAATATATTTCTTCTATTGTGGTGTTTTGTCATTTTTTTAATCCTTTCACTTGTACCACCAAATCTTTCACCTATTTCATTAGGATTAATATCGTCACAGCAATTTCGTTTTATTAAGATTATTAATTGATTGGTTTTCATAGGGAGGTTTCTTCTTTCTTTCCCATTTTTGCTCATTCTCACAGGTTGAAAGCTCACAGAGTTGCAGCCAAGGTTAGGAGTGATGAGAGTGAGTTTAATGAAATAGTTCAGCCTTGTTTTTGGGAAATAATCACGTATTTTCATGTTGTCATTTTTATCAGTTGCCAAATGATCCTTACTCTTTCTACACTCTCGTCAGTCCGGAGGGATATGACAGCACTGAAAAATCTTGCCTATTACACACTCAGGGCTTTTCATGGATGGCCAAGTTCTCTTCAGTGCAATCAGAAATGGTAACAAAGAATATTTGAAAAAAAAAATTGGTCCTTCTTGGTGTTTCTCTTGCTTTTTCCAAGCTGAAGGTGGAGATGGGTGAAGGTGTAAACACTGTACAGGTGTCTGAAACAAAAGTACAAGCAGTCACTTGCAGATTTTGGATATTTGGGCTGTGTTTATACATTGGATTTTATGAGCAGAAAGCTGTCATACCTCGAGCTTTTAAGGCTGCATGARCAGGGAAAACTTGCTCACGGCCATTTTACAAATTATTCCAATTGATGCTGACAAAGAATCTCTTTACATCCAGCATTTTTATATATCAGCGTCGATCTGCCTGCCTGCTTTATCTCCTATCTCGGTAATTTTATTTGTATTTTATTTCTTTTCCTAATTGAAATTCCAGTTTGCAATGGTGTTGTGTAAGATAATGGCTGGTTATTAAACTGTGATGATCCTCTGCTGATAYGGGAGCTCCCTTGGATAACAAATAGGCTACCGTGACACATAAATCAGTTTTTCAAGTCTCCTCTCCAGGGATGGTAATTAAATAAGTCGCTCATGAGAGACTTTGATTGCCTGATAAGACTTGTTGGGAGTTACCTGACAAAGRGGATTTGAGGCTGTAAAAGAGAGGTCTGTGCAGGGGTTGCTGCTGAACAGCGTTTCCCTGCTGTGGATCACGGCCTCTGGTGCCTTCTGAAAGGGTCAGGAAGTTTTAAGTGGAGTGTTATACTTCAAGAATAAGTCATTACTAAAAGGTAAAAAAAAAAAAAAATCCCATCTCACGATTGCAGCACCTTGGAATCTGTGAGGTTTGAGTGTCAGAMGTGGCTGCTGTTATTTGTAACATTTGAATTGCCACGGGAGCACCTTGCTGTCCTTTAATTGCTGCTCCCATTTGGAATCTGAATTTACAAGTGATCCCACCTCAGATAGAGCAGACCCTTGACCCAAAAGAGCACTTCAGTAGTGGGGGAAGGCAGGAAAGGAGGTACAGAAAGCTTTCACTTTGAGCTGCCTGGTGGGAAGAAYGGTTGTCTTGAAWAGCTTTTCAAACTTTCCTTGGGTATTTTTGGTTCTACAATCCAATAGGAGGATTTTTCTCAGTGTGAATCCTGGTAATTTTAGGAAGCTGGGAGTATTTCAGGCAAGTCTATATGGAGACCATGCTTTTATCCAAAAATATGAAAATATCTGGGTACACATAATGGTGAGCCAGCCTTGGTGTCTTCCAGCTGTGGGTTGCTGTGGAGCCTTCACTGCTCCAGCTTGGGCTTGTCTGGATTCAAATGACCGATTATAAACTGTTCATTTATTTGTGCTGGTATYTCTTGGCCTCCTGCTTCTTTAATATACTCTGAATTTCCCTTTCTTCAAAGCTCTTGTGTTTTTAACACATATTGGATGTGTTTTTGGTTTTTATGTTATACCTACATCAGTGATTGAGGAGTTTGYTGTAATTATTATCGTTGAAAATGCTGTGAAAAGTTTTGGGAAGTGCTTTTATGGTTTCTCTAGTAAGCAGAGAGGTCAAAGTTTACCAAACTAATCTGGAAACTTCAGATATTTGTTCTTAATAATAACATTTTCTTCAGGAGAAGTAAGGGTTGCATTACTTTTTGAATTACATTACCCTTGCATTACTTTCTGATATTGTTACTTCTTGTGAGTAATGAAAGAATTTTTCCTTTTTCCTTCAGCATTCCTGATTATCCCAATCAAACATTTTATTGCTTTTTAGATTCTAGTCAGGCTGGAGTAAATGTTTTTTTAAAAAAGTTGAGTTTTGATGGTGATAAATTTGCCTTTCATACATGGTATACTAATTTAAGCTCAACTTGCACACATTAAAAAATGTGTTTTCCTTAGCCTGTGTTGACTCTTATCTAAACTGATGTGGGGACTGTCCTTTATCAGGTGTCCATGCCTTGAAGTTGAATTTGCAATGCAGAGAAGCAGAAATCCTTTTGTATTGCTGTGTGAAGGGAAAAGTTTCAGAGCCAGAAGTTGAGACAAATAAATCCCAGTAATTTTTGGTCGTGTGATTACTTTGAATTTCCTTTGTCATCCTTTAGCCCTTTGAGAATATGATAAATGTAAACTGATCTAGGGGAATGAGAGGAASTTTAGGGTCCCTTCCATTCCCAAGTTTTCTGTGATTTTGTGAGCTGATTTCATGAACTCATGAGTTAAGAAACTTCTGCACTTCATAACTGAGGGGAAGGTGAGCATCTCCCCTTTRTGTCTYAAAAATAATGRAATAYTGYGAAWTATATGTAGTRTCAGGAAAAGAACCTTGTTGGATAATGAAATTAAACTGCCTTTTTTTTCCTTTTATTTTTTTCCCTCTTGTAGCTGAGCTTTTTGGCTTGTAGACAACTATGATTTTGGGATAAAAAAAAATTGTTACTTAAAGGAACAACGATTTAAGCCCCTGCAGATTTTTTCCTCACCTGCCTCTGTGCTTCTCACTCTCCCTCTTTCATGATGCCTCTGATGCAGTTTCATTTGTCACCAAATTGTAGCCAATTTTAGGTGTGACAAAGCGTCTCTTTCAAACATCCCAGGAAATTCAGCACATCATTTTAGGTGGAAAGCACACAAAGAGATTGTACCCTGGGGACACAGCAGAGGGGTTTTTAATCAGGGAGAACACGATTTTTCATCACTGGAATTCAGCCAGGATGAGAATTAACTCTTTAGCTTTTACCAGAGGGGATCTTCAGTGCTGAGAACTCAGGTACTCGGTTTTGCCCAGAAGAATTTGCTGTGGGAAATATTATTGCTTAATGAAGCTTTGAGCAGACTCAGAGCAAGAAATTCTGTAGTTTGTGGCTTGTGTTCCATTGTACTTTCCTAGAAAAAAGTTTTTTAACACAGGGTTAAACAGAGGGGAGTGTTGGGAATTCTTCACGGCCGCAGCAGCCGTGGATGYTGTGCCTGCTCCCTGCTCTTGGCTCACATCTGCCTGTGTCCTTCCAGTCCAGTTGAGCTCAACCATTTCTGCACAAGCCATTTGATTCTCTTTTGTTTGGTTTCTCAGTCTGGCTGCTTACTATAAACATACCTACTGTATATGTTGTGGCCTTGGAGGGCAGCAGTGCAGGARAAACTTTCCCACAGTGAACTCCAAGTGGTGTTGCGACTTCAAAAAATAAATTCAACTTCCATGCTGACAAACAATCTTCKTGTGCTTTAATGTCCTTCCACTAAGACTGCAGAAGCAGCATTAAAGTGAACTTCCCTACAAATTATGATGTTAGATAAGAATGTCCTTACTCAAATTTCCTGAAGCTACTCAGCAGTTATTTCTGTAGGGAACATGCTGGCTGGCTGGGTTTGTTAGATTAAAGTAAGAATTTAGGGCAAGGTTCAGTTTAGCTGTTTACCATTTCAAAGTCTTAAGTGTTCTTAACTCTTTCATGTGTGTTTTTGTCATCCTTGTTTTGAAAACAATCCCATTTTGTCTTTGAAGAAGCTGAAAGGGGGAATGTGCAGCGAGGGAGGGGGTTTTGTTCCCTGAACCTTAATATTTACAATATCCCTTCTRAGTGAGGCTGCACTTGGGCATGGAGGAAGATAACCATGCCTTGATAAAAATCTTCCAAAGAGTGGAACGTGACTTTGCAGGGGTGGTTTGGAGCCACGGCATCGGTGTTGTCATTGTTGTGGTATTTACTGAGCTTTGCTGGGAGTTTCTGTGCTGGGATGTAAAGCCTGGGCAATATTTTCAGCCTGAGGGATGGGATATAATTGATGTCCTGAGCATGAGGCTTGTGGAAGTGCTTAGAGCTCAAAATTTTGCTTTTCTTACGCTGTTCTTGCTTTTGGGAAGAAATCATTTTAACTTCTGGTAGTGCTTTGCTCATTACTTGCATTGTCAGCTTTAAAATTGTTTAAATGAAGCATATATAAAATCGTATATATACAATTGTGCAATATTTAGTTTTGACCAGTTAGGTGTTGTTAAAATAAATAGAAATTGAAAATACCTGAGTTAGAAATGTTGGCTAGTTTGCCTCAAATTCAGTTTTGGGATTTTATTTTTTATGTACATTTCTGCCATAGTTTTTTTTTAACTGAAGAAATAAATATATTTTAATGAAGTGCTTTATCTCAGTTAAGTAATGGGGATTTCTTCATGATCACCCAACGCCTTCCAGCTCTGATTTAGGAGGACTAGAAGGTGACCATTACAGGCCTCACAAATTGAACCATGCTTTTTTGACAGACTATAATAGAACAGGAGAATCCAAAAGCTTTCCTACAAAGAACTTCCAAATACCATTTCTGTTAAGAAGTGGTATTTACAAATTAGAGTTCAGTTCTAGTTCAAATAAAGATGTCTTTCATGATGACATTTATTTGGTTCATACTCTTAAAAAAGCTTGTGATTTACTGCTCTTCTCATGGCAGCCCTTCAGTCTCATACATATGTATTTTGGCTTGTCTTTGACCTTTTGCTTATTATTTTTAAATTTGCATGTTTCTCATAAATACAGACTTCTTTTTTTTTTCTTTTTTTGGGGCATTCTTTATTGTGATAYTCCCTCTTTAATGTGGTCTAATTTAGAGAACAAGAAGTTTTGCAGAAGACCAGCATGAAAAGAATGAATGTTGGGGCATTAAATGTTTACAGATCAGTTTAAGTGGATATAATCCACAACAAGTAACAAAGTGGGAACATTTAACTTCAAAGCACATATGGCTGCTGTTACAAAATCAAAAAATGCAAGACTTGGGCCCTACCAAGTATTAGAGACACATTTTCCTTCTCTCTCATAAACAAGTAGGATATACCTTGGTTTTTCAGATTGATTTTGAAGTGAAGGCTGCAAACAGCTGAATAAGATAAAGGATTTTAAGTAGTTGTAAATATTTACAGGAATTTTTAGCTTTAAAAAGACCCAAAATAAAGGGTGATAGTGTTAATTTTGCATGAGGGCTCTGGGGAAATGATTGAGCCTTTGAAATGTGGACCTCCAGCATTTTCCAGTTGGACCAGGTGAAGGTTCCCCCTGTTTCTGCTGCCCAGGGGTGTKGGGTGCTGAATTGGGAGCACCCTGAGCTTCTGGCAAACACCTTCAGCCCTGGGGATGATCAGGTGCCTGGGCTGGATGGGGAAGTGTCCAAATTGAGCTGGGAGGAGGAGTAAAAYACCACTAAAATGGAGCTAGAAAATTCTGCTGCAGGTACAAATGTGTAGGACCAGGAAAATCCTCCAAGATTTTTCCTCTTTGGGATTTCTGTACCTTTAATTTCCCTCTCTCTTGATTTGCTTTTTCTTTCTCTCTACTGTATCTCCTGTGATTAATGCTCCAGGATGATCCCAGTCCTGTATTCCTCTCCTCACCAATCTCTTCTGTGTCCAAAATTGCTCGTTTTTGTGGCATTGGGGCCTCCAGGATTCCTTCCTTCACTGGTGGCTGCTCGTGGGTTTTACCTTCCAGCACAGGATGCCTGATGAGAAAGTTTATTCTGTTTTATTAAATGCCCTGACAATAAATATAAATATTTTATTGTTAAATTATTGGTTTCAGCTGTAGTATTAAAATATTGGGTAATACTTTTCATTGAAATTGTGTTAAACRTGAGCATCTCCAGCTACTTCTGGGTGAAATATGACAACTCCTCAACAGCACACAGCAATCCCACCTCACCTTTTGGGACAGGAAATGARTAACACTGTATCCAATTGAAATTTCAGAGGGATTAAACATCTTTGCCACTGATAAATTCAGCACAGAAATTTATTTAATAGCGCTGCAGAAAGTTCAGGCATTTGATRTGTTTGCCATGCTGCGTAGATCAACCTAATCTTACAACATTTTAATTTTTTTTCATGTGTTTTGCAATCTCATTCATATTCTGAATCTTCCTGCTACATTTTACAAGATTATACCCTTGAAAGCTTTTTTTGGATGTTCTGCTTTGTCTGTGATGTGATGTTTGAGCCTCATCGTCTGAGAAAATGAGAAAGATAGAGCTGTCTGATAGAGGAAGTGGGCTGGGAACAATGTTTTGTATCCAGTTCTTAAAAATAGTGATTAAAAGAGCTGTTTTAATTATACAGTCATGTTAATGAATTATTTCCTTATGCTTTGTCTCTATAACTTACATGTGTGCCTACAGTTTCAATGCACCCAGCTGTAATTTTTCAAAAGCACTAGATTTTAATCAGTATAATCTGCAAACTTCTTGTAGCTTTATACTGATTTCAATGAGAATTTAGCCAATAAAGTTGGAAATCTTTTGCATAAGCCTGTGTATGTAGCTGCCAAATTCTTTTAAAATATGCATTGATGGAATTTTTACAACCACAAGACTTTTTTGGGGGAAAAAAGTGCAATTTTTGATCCATTTACATTATGAAATTTGGTGATCAGATCATTTCCAACCAAATGATMTTTTAGGATGAATTGCTATTTCTATAACAATTTTTTATGTTAAAATCTCTTCTGTGGTTCTTTGGGTGCTGCAGTTCTGTGCTGGGTTAGGTTTTGATATTTTCATGTTTACAAGGCAAAATAAGCCATTGCTGACCTGCTGATTTTCTCCTCCCTTGTTTTTCAGTTAGAAAACCCCAGATACCTGCGAGAAAAACGGGTGCCRAGGACTGTGGTAGGTGTTTATCTATTCCCTTGATATTTCAGGAGGGCAAACAAACATTTTCCCTTTTWAAAAATTTCTTCTCAGGGTTTATTGTACTCAACTTCTTGGTCGTTCTGAACTTTTTCTTTCTCCACAGATGACACCTAAAATTGGCATGGAAAGGAGCAGCCCCTCTCGGGACCACTCATCGCTGTTTCGAAAGCACGAGAAAGAGGTGGGATCCTTTGAAATCTTTGAGGTGTTTTCTTTGGAAAATCAATATTAATAAGGAAGTTGTTATAGCAGAAACTCTTCTTGGAAGAGAAATTTGCTGAAGTGACAGGGCTTGTCATTAAATAATTTATTTTGCAATTATTTAAGGGGTAAAAARTACTTTCTAAACGTTTTTACCCGTCCTCTGAATTAATATTTAGTGGAGAAAAGTTTGAATTCTAGGAATTTTCCAAATTACCTTTTTAACAGGGGCAGTGAAAGCTTTGATTTAGTGAGGGCTTTTGTTTAATTTCGATATGTCTTTTAAAATGAGCAGATTTTGACCTTATTCCTGTTAGGATCTGCATTATTTCTGCATTTGCCTCACTGAGCTCCAACCCTCTTTTGGTCATATGGGGTTTTATTTTATTTCTTTGGAGCATTGTGAATTGCTGACATGACTTTCAAAGCTTGGCTGTCAAATTTTCTCACACCACATTATTTTGCTTTTGAATATATGTGAAAGTAAAATTTTGTGATCATTTTCACCTTTTTCATGGTTTAAAGAAGTCGATTGCTGTGATAGTTTGTCACGAGCTGCTCATTTTATTCAATATATTTCTCTTTTTAAAAGACAGTGAAGTAATGGTCAGAAAAGGAAACTCAAGGTGCATTAGAAAAACTAACAACAGAGCCCTAAAACCAACCAACCAATCATAGAAAAATGAACAAAACCCCGAATCCAGCACTCTGTTCTGTTTGTCCTTAAAATTTCTGATTTCAGCCTTATGCTCTTAGAAAATTAAGACATTTGTACATAGTTCCCTCTTATCCATAAGTACCTAAACCTACACAGAATCCCAAATATGTCTGAGCTGGGAGGAAAGGGCATCATCAGCAAAAGAGGAAATCATCCCTCCCTTTCCTTGTAAGGACACRTGGATTGGARCTGTCCTAAAGTTACTTTYGAGACACTTYAGAAAACATCTTTAACAGAGGAGGGTAAAATTGGTTGGCAGATCCTTCAATTGTTAATGAAATAATTTCATCCATTTTATTTCTGTTGCTACCTGGCCATCTCAGCACTCATCTTAGCAGTTGCACAATCCCTGTGCCTTTCACTTTCTCTGCTCTGCTCTTGATGTCCTTTTGTATTGACAGCATTCAGACCACCAGTGCCTTGGGATGAGAGGCWAGGTTTCATAAGATGTGAAAAGAGCCCAGAAAATAAATAAATGGCAAGCACAATGTTGTGATTTGAACAATATTTTCAAATTAAATAAACAGGAATGCATGCCAAGGAGCTCCATAAAATACCCAGTTAATACTTTGCTAGTTCAGTGGAAAAATCCTCTAAACCACACAGTAAAAATCCAGGACTTTTTGCTAATGGTGCTCGACTGTGGGCTGGTTTGAACTGGAAAGGTTACAGACAGCGTTTCACAATCACCATGTGTGTGCTATTAACAAGAAAACTGAAATGTGTTTTCATCTGATTTTGTTTGTGAAGCTCAATTAGGAACGAARCCCTTTTCATTTATAGAACGTGGGTGTATTAGCAGAGAAACGGGGCTGTGCAAAAAGGTTTGGGGGAACCTTTAACTGTTCCCAACCTCTTTGTAGTACAACGAGAGAACATAAAATAGGATAACTGTGGGGTTTTTTTTGTTTTTTTTTTTGCTTTTAACCTTTGGACCTTTGTTCATAAAGCATTCCTGCACCTGTTTAGAGTCTGTRATGCTGAACACATGGCACAGAGCAGTGATAACCACATCAGAGCCCTGCCAGGACGGCGATGTCGTCAGGCAGGGACTTTTAGTCATCCTTTCCCCAAATCCTCCTGCCATGGATTAAACCATTTGGGAAGTGGGCATTGCTGAAAAATCATGGGTTTGAACGAGGAATCTGCAACCCCAACACAGGAAAATGCCCGTGTTCAGCAGGGCAGCAAAGCACGACAGATGGTTTGTTGTGATAAAAAGGGAAAAGTGTCCCTTTGAACTTCACCTCGGGCCATCCTGTGTCACCCAGTGCTCCACGGGGCAGGGGGAGGCAAAGGAAAAGGGCTGATTTGTGGTTTTCTTTCCAGAAAAACAGATCCAGTRGCATTGCTAAGATACACATTTTGAATTCTTCTGGAATAAGAAAATAAAATCAGCTATGTTAATAAAATTATTCCCTTTAACTTTTCTCAAGTAACTGGTTTATCTGATGCATCCTTGAAAGACATTTAAAGAAATTCTCTGTCTTAATTTCTCATTTTGTCAGTCTTATWTTTTCTTAGCATTTTTTCCCAATTTCCTTCTGTTTTATTTTTTTGTAAGCAAAGACRTTTATTTATCTTATCTCAACAAAGGAAACCTAAACAAATCAGAGGCGTATTGGGAACAATTTTCACTTTTCAGTTGAAGGTTATACCTGGAGTAAATCTTTGCTGAGTTGTATACCAGCTCTTAATTGATTTATTTTTCAGGCAAGCTGGGAAATCTGGATGCTTTGTGCAATGATTATTGTGAAGTTTAATTTGCCTGGGTTAGCTGAGCATTTCTAATGTTTTTGTTGACTTTATCRCTGTGCTCCTATCACTTCTCTGGTTTGATTTTTGGGAATCAAAAATAATATAAAGCCTTTAGATATGACCCATGGGTACTTTTCCAGCTAAAGCAGCCCTAAATGGTGGAGCAGCTGGAGGGAGGAGGAATTTTGGGGAGGCATTGAAGGAGTTTTCAGGAGAACCTGGGAAAAACCTCCACCAGTTTGTCCTGTAGAGGGGGAATGAGGAGAACACCAGAGAAAAGGAGAGAGGAGATAACACAGAGAATGGCAAAAACCCTTTTTTTTACCCTGAAAACTCATGTTCATGGATTGAGGACCAGAAATAAGATGGAAAACAGAAAGTGTTTTATAGATTTACTGTTCAAGAAGTCTTATCTTTGAGATGCAGCCTTTTTAAAAAGCTATTTAGGACCTTCATCTTTGTAATCTTTGTTTATGTTTTTCTCCCTTTATTTTGGGAAYGAGTACTCCCTTTTACTGCATGACACCAATTTTGTTTATAAAGATCCTCAAGCCATTTATATGGTTTTTACTGCCCCAAAAGTGTCGGGATCCAGTGATATATTTACATTAAGATAAAATCTGTGGTGCTGATACAGTTAAGTCCTGGTCTGGCTGAAAATGCTCTGAATTGAAGGTGTTGAAAGCAGCAGATTTACTGTGCTTCTCACTTATCTGGCAGGAGATTAGAACTTGAAACAGAGCAAATTGCACGAGGGCTGTGATAGGGATTTTCCCCAAGAGAAATTTCCTACAGAGAATGCAGGGCAAAGAATGCAGGGAGGAAAGAAAGTTGTAAAACTCGGGAGGGAGAGTGAATAACTCTGGCTGRTGTTAGCATGGAAAAGAGAAGGAAAAGAACATTTGGAGATAAGTGAATCCCTGCAGCTGGAAGGAGATGCTGATCTGTAGGCATTGCCCTGTTGGGTTTGATTCCTTCCTCTTAATTGCCCTGTTCCACAGTGAAGTGTTTAAATCCATGAAATTCGTGCCAAATTATGAGCAATAAATAAAACCAATATGGAGACAGTATCCTGAAACGAGGACTCTTGCACTGTAAATTTAACATTATTGTGCCTTTAGCTACGTGATGAATTTGCTATTTTTCGTCATTGAAAAGAAATATTTTTGTTCATATCTTCCAAGGATGGTAACAAAATCTATCAGTAGCATTCTCTTGTGTATGGTTTTGAACTAAAAGCGTGTTCTCGTGTCTGTGTGTGTCTGTAGAGTTTAAGTCTTGGTGGATGGACATATGGACAGCTGGGTATGGAATCAGGAGAGCAGGATACAGCTCAAGGAACCTCCTCAGATGTACTGGGGCTGTTTGTGCTTTTCAATAACAAGGGGCAGAGTGGTTTTGATGAACTTTCTGAAATTTGAGTCTGAATCCTACAATAACAGGAGCTTCCTGTGTTGGAATTTTAATTTCTTATCCCTCTGTTCTTCCACTTCTCTTCCTTTTCTGTTCCTCTTTTGTCATCCTGTGCTTTGGGGACTGTCCAAGCCATAGTTCTGCTCATGTCTCACTGATTTCCAAGAATAAGGATTGTTAAGGTTTTTCATTCTGGTGAATATTCCTGTTAAAATGTAGGAATATGTGTTGGTTTCTGTTCACACAAATGTGGCCCCAGTGATGGAGCATGAAGAGGCTAATTATTATTGCTTTCATCAAAGTGATTTTCACTTTTCTGTAACTTTTTTCCTTATGTCAGCTCAGTTCCTAAAATACTGTTTTATTCCCCCTTAAAAATATTCCAAGCAGTGACATTGACTTTTTTTCTGTTTCATCTGAATTTTCTCCTTTTATCCACAGCCCCAGTGCCTGTTTTGAATGCAGGGCCTGATTTATAGGGAAAATCCAGCTGTAAACTGATTCTCACCACCAACTAATCGTCCTGAGTAGGAATCTGTTAGTTCATATTTAAAATCACAGCAATCTTGCCTGCTGTTAACATCACTCCTGCCTGATTAATGTCCCGTTCCCAAAAACATGTGCAAGTTGTCCGTCGTGTTCCGTGTGAGGAAGTCACATCCTGCCTTGCTTTGATAACTCTTCACAATGTAATGTCATAAACCCCAAACTGTATTTTATTGTTAGGCTGGTGTGAGACACACAGYGTCTGTCAGGATGAGACATGTTTTCATAAACTGACTGCTGATTTATAATTCCTGATACCAGTCAGGCTGGTTATGGAGATCGAGATGTGCATGTACAGTTATTTATTTATTTATTTTTTTTTTTGGTTGCAATAGTTGGTGAACTGTGTCTTTAATTATTGCACATATGGGCTGGAGACATTGAGAAAGATCAAAGGGGGAGGTTAGCAATTCAAACTAGTGTTTTAACCAGTAGAATGTCCAGATGGTTGCCAAGCAGCTGGGAATTAATCTTTTGCTGCATGATTAATCTCTACCTCAAAGTGTCTCTCTCTTTAAAAAAAAAAAGGAGGAAGAAAGTTTGAT